CTTACAGGTCCTGATTTTCAGAACCCCTTTGCCTTGGTGTGATCATTGCTTTAATTATTTCTCCTTGCAGCTTCTATCTTGGAAATGTTTCTTTGTGCTGTGGTCTTTTGGCGTCTCACTTTAATCCTGTATTCTGTGACTCGGAGTCCTACGTGCTTATCACAGAATCACAGAACCGCTTGGTTGGAAAAGCCCTCTGAGATCATCACGTCCAACCGTTCCTGTCTACCCCCTAAACCATATCCCTAAGTACCTCGTCTACCTGCTCTTTAAATACATCACATACACCTCTGTTAATCGCCTGTCTTGCATGGTTTGGGATGATGGAGGAAGAAGGGCAAGGGAAGAGCTACAAAGATTGGCTACTTCTAAATCTCATATACCTGATCAAAGATGAAAGAAAAGCAAAATATTTTGATTGTAACATAGGTCTATTTTTAAAAATATATCAAAATTATGAAACAGTGTCATTCAAAGTAATGAAACAGCGTCATTCTTCTGCACACTCTTTTGGTGAAGACTTACTAGTAGGTCTATTTTTAAAAACATATCAAAGTTATGAAATTGTCATTCAAAGTTATGAAACAGCGTCATTCCTCTGCACACTCTTTTGGTGAAGACTTATTAGACATGAATGGTTTACAGCAGATGTGCCAGCCCCTTTCCAGCTTCAGAAGGTGACAAGCAGCTCCATTCTCACCAGTGGAGTCTTTCAGGGTCCTCTCACAAGACAGACACAAGGCACTTGTGCTTCTCGGGTTTGTTCTCACTGGACTCACCCAGCAGATTTAGCATCGCTGCATCCATCTCCACTCAGTGCATCTCCTCGCATCCCCTCGGCTGCTGCTGAGTCTCTCGAAGTCTCACTGTACTTCTGTAGGTGCCTCTGTCCCTCAAGAGGTCTCCCTTTCCCAGCCCCACATTCCCAATGCTCCATTGTACATTGATTTTTTTACTATCATTGTCCTTCCTGAAGCTCCTGGTGTTGTTTTTCCTGCCCTTCTCTTCCCATGTGAGTCTCGTGGATTCTCACTTTAGGTAGCATTGGCTTTTTACATTACATACTTTGAACAGATTTCAGTCTGTTGTAAAAGACAGTTGTGATAAGTATGTGAATGGCTCTGTTTTTACAAAAACTGTGATACTGTCACATTAATTCTGTACTGATATTCACTGTACTGTTTCAAATTCCTGATGACACTTTTTATTGGACAGCTGCACTATGTGTTGTCTCTAACAGGATCCTGGTGACCCTACAGAAGGTAATTTCACTTGGTAAGAATTTAAAAATTAAAAAATTAAGAATTTAAAAATCTGGAAAAGACATCTCCTGTTTCACTTGCTTTCAAAGTTACAAAATGTCGAGGAAATAACATTCACAAGGCCGGCCATTCCAGCTGCATACTGAGAAACTTGTTTAAAGGCTGTTAGTAAAGACAGCATTAATTTGATGTAGAAACATGCCCAGCTTCTGCAGAAGTCTTTTCTTTTTGCACTTCAGTATTTGAAAGTCTGGTAATGGCTTAAGCGAGAAGGAAACTCTGTTCAAGTCATATACAAGAGTGATGTGGAAAAGTTCCTTATTGGGGCTGTTTGGGACTCGCACCACAGCAGCTGAGGAGAGGTGATCCATCAGCTCCTGAGTGTCTACAAAATGCAGCTCTCCAGATAACAGGTTTAAAGTAAAGATTTAATACAGTCTCAATCCACTCTGATGTTGCAGTGACAGTTTAAAACTCATTCTCTAAATCTCAGCAGACTTTATAGCCAGCAGTGGGCCCATATAAAGCTTAATGGCATTACAGCACATAAATCATCTTTTAAAGATGCTACCGGTAGCTCCAATATTAAATGCAGACAATTGTCTGTGTTATAAATAATTTATCAAACACCGTTTCAGATTAGCCTTCCATGCTGAGTTATTTATTTTAGCCTTTACTGCACTATTCCTAAGACACATTTTGAAAGCCCCATTACTGGTCACTTTAATGAACTTGGGGTCTGTTCTCGCCCCTCGAGCGCTGCGGTACATCTGCGGTGACCATTACATGGCCGAGCTGGACCTCTCTGCGCTGTTACCAGCGCTGCCCATTTGTCACGCGGTGGTAAATGGAGCTGCACATTGGAGCCGTGGGACGCGTTGTGCCGCGGTGATGGAGGCAAACAGATAGCGCCATAAAACGCTGCCTGTCACAGCCGGCGCTGCCCTACATCACTGCCGCCGAGCTCATTGCGGGAGCAGCGTGGGCCCCAGAGGATGATATTCCCAGTTAGCTTGGTCTTTGCAGCCATAACGCAGGAAGAGCTCCTTTTATGTACTCGGAACTTTTAGGGGTTTGAAGATTAATTACTGCGGTGCCTCGTTTGTGCCCCTGGAGCTGAGCCTGTGTCAGCGCTTCCCATGGCAGCCCCGGTCCTGCGTGGACTGTGCGTGCGGGAGCTGGTGGGGAAAGGTGGGGTTTTCTGTGCCTACTGTGGTCGCCTTTCCAAACTATGAGCAGGGAGGAGCAGTACCCACAGCACTGAGGCAGGGTTTCTGTAATTAGAACGATTCCAGGCTCGTTAAGGAGGCTGCGCAGTATCAGTGGAAGAGCCGAGGTCACATTTTGGGCTTTCTCAGAGTTGGGGATGCCTCAGTGCAGTTACAGCTGAGCTCTGCTGCCTGAACTGGGTGTTCAGCGCTGTTCTGATAGCAGTAGGTGGATAGAGGCTGTTTGAAAAAGTAAAAAAAAAAAAAGAGACGACTGTGGTATTCACATTGTTGTGTAGAATGAGTTAAATTAAAATCAAAAGGGAGAGTGGGACAAGCCCACCAATCTGCTTTAGTTTTCCTGAGTTGCGATGTGTTTCTTACATGAACAACTCGGATAACAGCTTAAAATTATTCTGGTTTTGTTACCGATTCTCTGCTGTCTTTATTTCAGTATGTGTGCTTTGACTGTAGTACTAAAATACCCGTAGCATACAACAAATCAGTGAATGTTCTCTTCTGTCAGCTGAATGAGGAATTATTTGCTTATCAGAGTTTTATTGCCAAAACCACTGAAAAAACATCCAGGAATTATTTTTACAGCACGGCCGTTCCTAGTCAGCTTGGTAGAAAGGAGAATCCAGTGTTTGGTATTTAAAGCAATGCTAATAAAAAAGGGAGTGAAGTAAGGATTTGTGCTGTTTCTGTAGTTCACTGACAGAGTGCCCCCCTCCTGGTCAGTGCTGCAGTGAAGATGTGAGAACAGGAGTACTGGTATTAACTACTACTTCATGGAGGGCGACTGGAGGATGCAGAACACGTGCTGGGCACAGCCGTGGCTGCAGCTGAGCTGATTTTGGGCTCCTCTTGAGCCGCGCTCGCGGGCAGGAGCTGTGCTGCTGCAGCAGGGCCGTGCAAGGAGCGGGGCTGGGGCTGGGCAGTGTCAGTGTCGCTGTCACGTGGGGGATACGGCAGCGACACCGCGGCCTTCGCGTGAACCAGTCTGCGTTTACCAAAATGAGTGCTGCGTGTTTGCTCGCTGTTTGCGATGTGATGGCAGCTGATGTGCTCAGAGGTGAGAATCGGCAGAGAGGTCACGATGGTGAGCTCGGCGTTCAGGGCTGAGCGTGTTGAGCCGAGCAGCAGCTGCCTGCAGTCCAGATGTCGGTGTCCACAGACGCATTTCGGTGTCACTGCTCCTGCGCGGGAACAGGCGCGCTCTGCTTGTGGCTTTCAAACAAGTTCTGTGTGCACCTCTGAGAAAAGCGATGGGTCTTATGTGCTCTGGTGCGTACTTGTGAGGCTGCCGAAACGGTGCGGGGTTGTGTGTGGGGGGGGGCAGCAGGGTTTTTGTGTGTGTGTATATTTATATATTTATATTTATGTACAGACATGGCTCTGTCAAGTGGTGGTGGATCTTTTGCCGTAAGGACAGGCACGTGCAGGTCCCCAGTTTTTACGACATTTAAAATGATCCATCAGGAGGTCGTTTCACTGCATTTCTTCATGCTCACATCTCCAGAGCAGAACGAAGGGTTTACCGGCCATACCCGAGGTTACTTCTGACAGCACAGAGCTGCTCTGTGATTCTCCAGAAGCTGCTTTGGAAATGAGAACAAACCCTGCCCTGAGCTGTAGAGGGAGCCAGCGCAGCTGTAATGACCCTGTCCTGGCAGGGGCCATTGGGCACAGCAAAACTTGTGGCTGTGTCGCTTTCTCAGCAACACCATTCATTGGTTTTGTTGGGGGAGGGAATTAAGATGATTACAGATCTGTAGTGATATTTCAGTTGAGAGCTTAATGAATCCGAAGTGTTTCCTGGTAAAAGACACCCATCTGAATGTCGTGTTTGTGCAACAGACACTGTTGCGCTGTCTCGGGCTATGAGGCAGCTTCAGTAAGGAATGGCTCTGAGATGAAGCCCTGAACTCCAGATTGCACCGTTCTGAGTGAGGTACTGAGTCTGACCACTGTTTTCAGCAGGGCTCTGCCTCCTCTGCAGCTGTGTTCAGTCTGGAATCAAAAGTAGAGCTAGGTCTACTTCGCACAGAGCGAGGCTGCCTTGCAACACAGTTACTGTTAAGATGACCGGAACGAACGCTGCAAACCAAGCTCTGCTACAAAATCACAGAAAGAATTGAGGTGCTATGGAGGGTGATTACACAGCCCGAGCCAGGGAAGACTTGAACTGAACAAGTGTGAACTTTCATTTGTGTGCAGCCGTTACGGCACTGCAGGGACCTTGTCATCTGCGTGTGCACAAAGGCCTGGAAGATAAAAATCATAACATTTATCTTCGTTAAGACAGAAATGTTGATGTTGTTCCTTGAGCACCTTCACTGGCTCTGACTGATCCGGGGTGGCGGCCCAGGCCCAAAGCTGTCCCTGTGCAGTCCCAGGGCTCAGCAGTGCAAACGCTCTGAGTGCTCTGGGATCCCTTTTGTTGCTTTGAGCGCTCGCAGCTTCCTCCGCACAGGGACAGCCGTTTGTGAATGCAGCGCCAGGGCAGTGCTGGCTTTTTCTGTTGCAGGAGGAGGAGGCCAAGCAGCTCGTCAGAGATGCCATCGCGGCCGGCATCTACAACGACCTGGGCTCAGGCAGCAACATCGACATCTGCGTGATCAGCAAGAGCAAGCTGGATTTCCTCCGTCCGTACGATGTGGCCAACAGAAAGGGGGACAGGTTGGTGTTCTGTGCGTTATCTGCTCCTCCTGGCAGTTCCCGTTCCGTAATCCTGAATTCTGTCAAGGATATTCTCTTGCTCTGTAGATTGAGTTGCAGCTGAACAGCAGCTGCTGGTGGCACATACAGAGTGTGAAGGAAACAAGGGAACTGAAAGAAATGCATTGCTTGGTTTTGGAGTGAGGGTACACAGCAAGAATGGCCTGTGCAATAATGAGACCCCTTATTTCTGTGAGGCAGCCTTCCCAGTTACTTGGTAATTTCTTCTTTTAAATTACTCTTTCCTAAAAATGCTCGTTTATCTGAAACTTTTATCAGTTACGGCTATCGGGTCAGGTTCTGCAGAAGCCACAATTCCTTTACTTTGGACTCCACAGGAAGCTTCTAGAGAAAGCTGATGAATTTTACAATTTTAAATGACCAACCTCCAGCTGAATTGTCACCCGTTTCTGTCACAGGTACGGCAGGTACAAGTGCGAGAAAGGAACCACTGCTGTTCTCACGGAAAACGTCGCACTCCTGGAAATTGAGGTGCTGGATGAAACCGTACAAACCATGGACACGTCCTGAGCCGTCCCGTGCTGCACCAGCTCTGCTTGGAGGCTTTCCCGTGTCAGGAGAAACACGCGGCTGTAGAAAATAAAGCAGGTTCTGTCATTCCCTTCATTGGTGTTGATTCTTTTGCTGCTTTTCCTTTCTTACGCTGTTGAAAACGTGAGGCTCACACAGACCAGCACTGCAGCACCTTACCTGCTCTGTGTAGTGCTGGGCGCTGGGAAGGGGAGCTGGACTTTACCCCAAAATACCTCTATTATCACGAGAGAGAGCCAGGCCCTGGAGTGGACACCACATGTGGTGCTGGTGCAGGGGCAGAAAAACCACGCAGTACCACGGCTGCTTTGATATTTCACTCCAGGAACAAACTGCAAGGGTAAAACTGTTCTGTGTAAGCCCAGTTTGACCTGGAGCAGACGGCTGCTACCTGCATTACTGAAGGGAACTAACGCTGTTACCGTGCTATGTCAGTATGTACTCTGCCCTGGTTTTTCACATAGAGACAGGATAGCTCCAACCTCCACCCTGCAGCACACGGTTTTGTTTCTAGATGACACAGCTGAGGACAGCGTAGTCCCAAGTCCCGTGGTCCTGTCACTACCTGAATTTATCTACCAGCTTCCGCTTGGATTTTCGTCCTGAAATTCTGAGCTCATAAGCTGTTTGAGATCAACTGATTTCACTGTTTCATACAGCACCACCTTGTCCTTATTAAAAAAACCAACCAGAACAAACAGAAAAAAAACCCCAAGAAAAGCTAGCTCAGAATCTACCTGCAGAATAATTTTCGCATTTAGCCAGAAGGGAAGGTGTGCAGCAGCTGCAGGATCACTGACACCAGTTCCTGCTCCCAGCATCCTGCAAAAACCAGCCACCAAAACCAGCTTCAGATATGCTGCACGTGACAGGGTGAAGATGCTCAGGCAGCTTTCCATCAGAACAGCTGATAGGGTTGATGTGTGCAGTCCATTTTCTGGAAAGGATCTGCAGCTGATAGCTGTCAGGAACAGTTCCACACAGATTTAGGCCTGTTTTCAGTGTAATTTCTTTTATATTTTCCTTAACACTGGACTCTTCTTTTTTTTTTTTTTTAAACAAAGGTGTTTATTTTTTTAATCATTTTTTATTTATCTAAAAAGGCACAATTGCAAAAAAAAAATTACCTTTTGAAATACATTTACTTATAAGCACGAGTAAGTTTTATGTAGCCAGAACATGACCAGACTTCTCGGGATCCTCAGTTCAAAGCCGAGTGTCCCTGGCAGCCAGAGCTCTTGCTCGGTGTCGCAGCTCCCGCTGGCTCTGGCAGCGCTGCCGTGTGGAGGCGGCAGTGCCTGTCCGGACTCCGCGCATTGCCAAAGACTCCGCGTGTAAATGAACCACGTTCACATGGGAATGTCGGGAGCAAATTGGTGCCTCCACATTCTTCTGCTGATTCGAATCTCCTGAATCTCTGAGAGCAGCGGGCTCAACGTTCTGCTGAGAAGACTCAACGAAATGGCACCTTGCAGTAACGACACCAACATCATTCACAGCAATCAACAGCTCCTCTTTGCTACCTTATAAATAGTTTGAAATCTGATGGAAAGTACTTGAAGATGACACTGCAGTTTTCCTTTAGATAGAGCAAATCAGGTTAAAAAAATCCACTAAAAGCATATATATATATGTATGTATGTATGTATGTATGTAACCCTCTAACCCTACTCCTATTTCAAAAAAAATTAAGGATTGTATGAGTTCCTTAAGAAAAAACCCTAACTCAGGCACAGGCTGCATTGGAAGTGTCCCACACCAACCCGCGTTGTGGCAGGGGGCCCCGCCGCGCTGCAGCCCCGCTCCTCCCACAGGCAAATGAAATGGAAACACTGGAACGTGGATCCACGTCTGTTCCTACCGCAGCGACCGTGTCCTCGACCGCACTGACACAAATCATTGATTCAATGAACGACTGAGCTGGCTGAATTTGCATGTAGGTAAAGAAGATGATGACTCCTTCAGATCAGACTGAGATTTTATAAAAATTCACATTCTGTAAATTCGCTTTCACAGTTAAACAGGCGGGGCTGATCCTGATGTAGAATTGGAGACACAAAACATTTCGCTTGGTTTTGTTGGTTAGATTTCCCAATTGTTTAAAACACTGCTTCCCCTAAGTCTTACCCACAGTAAACCCAAGGTACTACTGAACATGTCCAAGTATCGTCACCAAAATCCACCCGGCGCAGATAAACGCTGGCTTTAACAAAGACCTGAAGCCTAAAAAGACTCATGCCAAATGGGACAGTAAGTTTACAGAGAGATTACTTGCAGGCAATGCTCAGTTCAGGGTTGTTGGCATGGTTTTCTTTTTCCCCAGGTACACGCTTAACCGATCCTATTGGCTGTAGCCAAGTTAACAGAGAAATGCATCAGCAAAATACTCACTCTAAATTTTCAATTAAAAAAAGAAATAATCTTGAAATAAATGCGTTTCCCACCCCCAACCCTTCCCTGTTCCAAAGCCTGAAGAGGAGGGAATTAATAAAAACACATAAATGGCTGCTTTAAAATATATGAAGTAAAAACTGAATTTGCTATTAACCATTTGCAGAAGAGGCAAAGTAGCAGTTATACAAATTACACAAAATCTACTGTAATTCTTACATTAGTATAAAGTGATTTCACCAAAGGAATTATGTCAATATTTCACATTACAGTTAAGATAGAAGGGGTGCATCAGACGCTCTCCCCCCCCCGTTAACAGAATCTATCCTAGATTACACACGACAGTTTGAAGAAAGGACCCTTAAATGATCTACATCTGTAACATGTTATTGGCTTTAAAAAAAAAAAACAACAAAAAAATCCAAAATAAAATCACTTGCAATACCTCACAGAATCTTCGCGTTAAAGCACGACCACCGCGTGAGAGTCCTTGTCAAATAACCTGCAGAAATCATGGAGCCTCCTGCTACGGGTGCTCACCCTCCCTCGTGGCACCAGGCAGCTTCAGCGGAGAAAAGGATTCAAGTAAGACTGCGCTGTGCTGGCGTCCGCGCGGCCGCTCATGTGCTGGAGGTCCAGACGTGCATTTGCTTTGCTATTTGGTGCACGTAACCGATGTCGGGTCTCTGATCCGGATCGGGGTATATGCACATGCTGACCAGCTCCCGCAGCTGAAAGACACGAAAACAGAGATGCAAACGTGACCAGATCTGCTGAGTTCTCACCGGAAAGGCTACAGCACTGGAGCCAGGGAAGTCTGGGGACCCCTCTGGTGCAGATGTGCACATCTGGGCCTGGGCAGACTGCAGGCACACATCTGTCTGTCCGTCTGTCCTGTCCTGTGCCCCCCTCGCAAAAGGGCCAGGAAGACCCTTTTCACCAAACCTTCAGCACCGAAGCTTCAAATCTTCCCCACAACCCCAGTGGATTTTATGTCATCATTTACAACGTGCGAGTAGCACACCTACACCCAGGGCTTCCCTGCTCACTGCTTTCGTGTGGCTCTACAGAAAACACAACGCCCTCCTCAGATCTGTTGCTCCTGACACTTGGAGCCTCAACGCCGCTATTTTTTTTTAAGAATTAAAAAAAAAAAAATAATCTTTTTTTCCTTGGGAATTTTTGATTCACTTCCAAGAACCCGAGCAGCGATGAGCAGCAGCAGCAGATAAGCAGCAGCTCATGGTCAGCAGAGTCTGAAGCACGAGGGTAGCAGACGCAGGAAAGGAAGGAAAAATGGGCTCTCTACCAAAAGGTTGATTGAGCTGACAGGCAGAGATGGATGGTTCAGTAAAAATGGACTCTGAAGAAAAGGCAAGTGGAGGGAGAGGTTAAAAACGTCCTGGACAGAGCTCTCCTGAGCAACAACCGTGCTTCCCTTCCCACACCAAGCCCTGGGAAGAAGCCAGTTCAAGGTTTTTAATTAAGAGCAGCACTTGTGTATCTTAAGGCACTGGAGCCCAGCTGTCAAACACCCATGTTTCCTAAAAACCTTTGTGAAGAAAAGAGAGAGGTCATTGATTATGTTTAATAAATAAAATGCAGAAGGGCTGAAGTCTCCCCACCTCCCTACCCTCTTTATTGTGCACATGAAAGATTGTAGCTTTTAATTACACAGACACTGAAAGCTGCTCATACCCCCGAGGCACCGGGAGAAACAGCCTTGAGCCTCTGATCTTCTCACATCCTCCCAGTAGCCACAGTACCAATTATTTTAATGGTAATTAAAAGCATGACCATAGAGCGATCAAGCACAGGGCTTCAGCTGCGTTACTGAATGTACCCGGTGAGGTTTTGGGCTCTGGATGGAGCAAGGTCCCGTGCTCTGAGTCGTCACTGGGCCTGGCGCACGTTTTGGGGCGATTCCTCAGGGGAGGACGTGGCTGAGCAGTGAAGACGCAGGCAGGATGGAGCCAGGGACACACGGGCAGCAAGGATGCGGTGACACAGGCACGGCCACCCGCTCTGCCTGCCACGCTGTGTGTGCAGAACACAACCCCTCCAGAATAAACCAGAATAAACCCTGCTCCCCTGCCCAGACTTGACCCATTCACTCCTAACTGCTGTGGTGACTTTCAATTGATTTTCAATTCATCTGAAGACAGGGGCCTTCTGCCTTTGTAACTGCAGAGACCCCAGGGATGTACCACACACCTCAGCCCTGCTCAGACCGAGCACCAGTTCTGTCCTGTACCGCTGACCCGCACAGCACGGGCATTTCACCAGTCTACAAGGAAGCAACAGACCAAGCCTTGGTAAGAGCCACCAATCACTATTTCCAATCACTGCCCAATTTGTACAGCAAAACCAACACTGGCAGCAGCCCCAGCTCCTCCTGCAGCTGCAAGGATCAGGACTGGCTGGTGCAGAGAAGCAGCAGTGACAACATTTGGTGGCTGTGGAAGCTCTGTCCTTGCAATCTAAACTAGAGACGTTTGCTCTTGAGGGAAACACACGACTGTGCAGACACAGACACCCACCCGTCCACAGGGCAGACACATTCCCTCTGGTGCGACTGCTGCTGCAGGCAGTGGCCTCTGCGTTTCTGGCCTTGCCCACATGGCTCATCTGCCCTGGCTGCTGGAGACACCAGCACAGCTTCCCCTTTGCCCATCCACTGCAAAAACATCCAAAAATCCCATCTTCGGAAGCAAACCGAGCACTGTCGGTGCTGGAGTCGTGTCCCAATGTTCACAGATGCAGAGCTCTCAGTGGTTTTGGTGTGAAGCAGCAGCAGAGCCTGCAGTGAGATGAGCTGCAGCCCCCTCAGATCCTGTCAGGCATCGAGTGGTGCACGATCCCTGTCTGGAGCCTCTGGGACCCAGTGCCTTTGAGCTCTAATCCCCCCTTGCCCCGATCGTATCCCTGCGCTGCTCACGCTGCTCAGCGCTGCCAGAGGGGAGCACCGACAGCACCCGCACACAGGAGAATCCTCTGTCGGCCCACGCCAACTCCTGCTGCCACAGGCACATCCCGAGCCGCATGCTGCAGCAGCGCGGCAAACCTGACCACGTGGAGCCGCGACTCGCTGCTACGGCAGCTTGGGGAACAAAGCCAGTCCAATATACCACTCTTCCAGAACAGTTCTCAAATGATCTTTTTGCATGAGTTACTTAGCAAGTGAAAAAGTAAGTACAATGTAAAGTGTGTGGTGCAGGGTTCCTCTCAGGGTGCAAGCAGACCATCTGCTGAGTGCGGGGTTTCCCCTGCATCCGCCTCCTGCTGCTCAGAACTTGGAGGGAGAATAAAACAAAAGAAAAACCCCAAAGGATACAGGCAACATTTACAATTACATGAGCTGTTTCTTTCAAATAGAAGGCAACTGTAACTCAAACAGCTGCTTTGTCTAGGTTAAGGGGGAAAATAAATTCAAACCCCATCTCTAGAGGCCCTGAACAAGAAGGACGTGCATGATTACAGCTGGAGGGAGCCGGCATGCACAGGGACAATTTTTGGACGCCCTGGTTCAGCTACTGCTCTCCACCCTTGTGTTCATACGCACAAACCCCAGACTTTAAAAAGCCGCGTACAGCTGCTGTATTGCACTAAACCAAACAGCTTTCCTCTCCCTCTTCTAAAAAAAAAAAGAACCTTTCCCCCCTGTCACACATTGAGGACTCCATAAACGAAGCCTGAAGTGCTGTTTAATGGTGTGTCATTTTAAGGGAAAGGAAGCGAAGGGTTTCCCGCAACTCGACGTTGGTTTTTCCTCGCGTCAGACTTCTAGTTTCAAAATATTCCCCACATGAAGAAATCTTTTCTGTCCCAATTCAGAGCGTCCATATTCAGACACCACAGTGCCCTTTGCCAGCCCCGCAGGTACTCGGGATGCTCCGGGCACCCCCTGCTCTGCCTGGGACATGGGGGGCTTATCCTGCGGGGTTCCCTTTCCCCACTGCAGGGAGGAACCTCACTGCTCCCCTTATCCCCCATTCCCCTGCAAAAATAATCCCGAACTTACCTTTTCAGAATAATGTTCAGCTGGAAGAGGTGGGTAGTCACATTGCTCTATTTTTTGGCACAGAGAAAACAGGTTCATTTTATCTCCGTAGAACGGACTCTGAAGAGCTGCCATCTGGAGGGGGAAAAAACAAACCCCCATGAACTGATTTCAGAAGCGCAGAGCACTGAACAGCCCCGTGCTGCCGAGCTGCCAGGGCACTGCTTGGTGGTGGTCAGCGCAGCCCCAGCCTCCCCCAGGAGCTCCCCATGACCACGGCCACAGGGGAGCACCCAGCCAGGAAAGGTCTCTACATCTTCTCCTCACTGTAATTCTTTCTGCCCAGAATGTTTCAGGTGTGAGACATTGGGTGTACACAGGCAATTCTACAGGAACACAGAGAAAGTTTGTTGTTTGTTTTTAAAAAAAAAAGAAATAGGGTGCTCAGATCATTGGGCAGTCAGTTAAAACCCAAGTAGCTCGAAGATAGCTATGAAAACCTCTTAGAAACACAACCATCTCTTTAGGAAGTAGAAGTTGTTCTGTCTTTGATAACGTGCCATGGTTTCAATCTTTCTCAGGTACCACCATATTCAGTTCATTTGCTCTCTGCGACCAATAGACTGCTACAAAGAATAAATGTATTATTTTGGACACTTAGCTACCTAGAATATGAAGAATCTTATAAACACGAGCAATGGACTTCAGCCTTTAAAAAAAAACCAAAGCAACCTCAAAACAAACATCCCTTCCTGCTCTAAATCTGCTATTTCGAAGAGTATCCCAGGCAGATTTGGGAACCAAGCTACTGAAACTTTCCCTCATAAATCTGCTCCTTGTCCTCATTCAGTTCTATTTTGTGAATCCCGTATTTGCACGCCCAGAAACACAACAGATGTGGGAGCCAAGCGGCTGCTCACACAGCGAGGGGCACGGCAGGGTTTGGGGGAAAGATCCCTCAAAAGGATGGCAGAGGCTCCTTACAGACACTTTTGTGTTACACTGAAATCTCAGGAAGGAAACTGCACCTGAAACTGCATCTCCATGTATGGAAAACGATTTGCACTGCAATTCTGCACCAGGAGCTCTGAACAAACACTGACCCCTGAGCTGGCGTGTCTGAACTTACAAAACGTGGCTGAAGCTGCATCTACTGAAGCCACAATGAGCCCAGCACCTTCCCTCGCTGTCCCACACCAGCACCCAAACCAGCAGAGCACCCGTGGCGCTGGCTGTGCCCATCCGCTCGTTAGCGCCAGGCGTTAATTGAGGGCTGCTCCTCACTCGTCCGTCAGCACCGCTGGATAATTGTGGATGTTACCCACCCTGTTTAGATCTTCTTAAATCATTTTGCCACAAGCCATGTCAGAGCGGGAAGCTTTTCATACGGAGGGCAGCTGAAGCTGATGCTCCTCTCTACGGCTGTAATGGGTGGGTTATTTGATGATTATTAGTCTTGTGCTCATTACCATGCGCTGTGAAAGCCATCTGAAGAACACTGTCTCGTTGCTGACACACACAGCGAGCTCCCAGCAGAACTGGAAAAGTCAATACTAGCTCCTCCACTCTATTATCCTGCAGTCAGGAACCAAGACTGATGGATTTTTAGTGATGTGGTGACAGACAAGCAGTTCTGATGAGGGCAGGGGTTTGAACCGCTGCCTTTGGGCTGGGTTTCCAGCAGCGGGACATGGAGCAGAGGCATCCCCAGGCACCGCTTGGGTGTCTTACCAAAATTCATTACCATTAACACACGTCCGAATGTTAAGCAATGCAGGACACATCAAGATAAACCATCCTTGGCTTAAATCGTAAACCTATCTTTTAAATAATTTAAAGTTATGTTTCTTCCTTGTTTATTTGCAAGACACACTGGTCACTCTGTGAAATCAGTGAAAACAACTCAGCCATGGGGTCATCTTGCCCAAAACGGCTGTGCAGAGGTCAGAGACCCCTGCAGTGAGTTCTGAGCCATTCTGAGGACTAATGGGATAAATCCTGGCCAAATCTCCAAGGTTCCTTATGTGGCACCAGACTGAAATACTTTTAGGAAGTTCTTCCAGAGGCATTTATCAGATACCCAGAGTGGATCATAAACAGCAGTACAGAATATACGAAGGTACCCGAATTACACCAAAGGACACAATGAACTGCGTACACAGCTCCCAGAAACATTTCCCATCCCAGAAAATTCCAGGCTATTCAGGTTTCTGTCTGTGATGCCTCATGGAACGCAGCTGGAGACACTGCAGCTTCACCAGCGGCGCTGCGCAGTGCCCACTGGTGATGTTGAGCTGCTCCTCAAACCCTGCAGACCCGAGGCTGAAGGCGACTCCTCAGCCTCGTGACCGGAGCCCAGCTCTGGGTCTTCTGGAAGTTTCAGAAGGCAAGAGCTGAAGTTGTATTGCTGTTATTTCGTTACTGTCATAACAGTAACAGGCAAATCGGTGGGGAAGAAAATACAAACTCCAATTAGAGACTCTAATCTCCAATTAGAGACTGACAGCAAACTGATCTCCATCAGTTAAAACAGAACAGAAGAGCTCAGCGCACGAGACTGGTCCATGGGCACATTAGGGATGGCACAGACGGCCACCAAGGGTTAAACAAAGTCTCCAAGATTTCAATACAAACATCAGTAATGGTGGCAAGGCTGACAGGGACTTTTCAATTCCCATTAACTTTTCTTTCCAAGTCTCGTTAAGCCGTTATGTGCAAAGGAGGAGAAACGGGAAGAGAACACTGTGGGGTTCTGGGGTGGTAAACGCAGGGCACTGGAACGGCAGGAGAGAGCCTGTGTGCTGTGAGTGACACAACTGGCACTCCCAGTGCCTCCCAACAACAGCAGCTCCTGATGGGGTCTGCTCCTGACATTTGGATTAGAGCAATTACCACACGACAGCCAGATCTCCATTTAAAATGACCACCATGCAGTACGACTGGTTAAAAAACACAGAGAGGAATCACCCTCGGTGTTTAAATTGATCGTCTTGCCAGAACTGCTGAAGTCATTGCTTGTAGCTATATTCTGGGAATTAACAACTTATTTTCATCCTCTCCAAGTTATCTTGCTGACAGATATCTACAGGAAGTGAGGGATGAAGACAGTGACTACTGTATTGATAAGATTTAATAAAAATCACTGGATGATTATCAATGTCAAAGTTAAGTGGTGCTATGTGGCATCACATCCCGAAGCCCTCAATGTTCCCTAAGTGGATGCCAGTGGACACGGCGTGTCTCTGAAGGCAATTTGTACATTAAACCTCTCTGCAGCTCATCTAGGCAATCTATCTGGAGACGTATCAGAAGTGACTCGTAACCAAACAAACATCGCTTCCTTACTTTTAAGCCAAGTGGAAAAACATTCTCGTTACAAGAAATTAGTGAAGATGAAATACAGCTCCTTCAAAGACACATGAATCCAATTTTTAATTATGCAAATTGTAGGAAGTTGAAGAAGTCGAGCAGCTGTTTAACTCCTGAACACAAAACTGGGAACTCTCCGGTCCTCCGAATGCACAAGGCTGCGCAGCTCCTGTTCACAAAGTTAAGGCTCACCTACGTAGGAAGGGCATTTAAAACGCTTCGCACGCCAAATCTTTCACAAGTTACTGTAGTACTGCTACTCCTACCAGAGAATTAAGTTCAGTGTGCAACTAAGTCAGCTTCTTGAAATTTCAGGAGTACCAAGACTACTGTGCCATAAGGGGACCATATTGCCTGCAACAAAAACACATCTTAGCACAATGCTAAATATTTCTCTCTGCATAAATCTGAAATCCCATCTCCAGCAGAGCTCAGCCTCGGAAAGGACTCGGAGCTGCCCGGCCAGGGGTACGGCTGTGAACGAGAGGCAGTGCCCACTCAGGTGACTCTGACCGTCACTGATAGCCTTGGCAAGTCCAGCGCATCAGGACAGGTCTTTTAATTCTTTCACTAGAGGTAACTGGAATTTGAGGACAGGTACAAAGCTACTCCATTTAAGCTTCTAATTCTCCAAATATTTTGGATCAAGTACTTAGCAGGGTGTCTTACTCCCTCTCTCCCCCTCCTATGCCATGGAATTTTAATGATAACATGGTGATACAACCACATCAGGCTCCAGAGCCTCCACCAAAACAGATGTTCAGCAGATCCAGTGCCTGTCTGCTTTGGTACCAGTAATGCCACTGCTGGGACGTCCCGCTGCTTGTGTGACTTACAGGGCGTTTACAGCAGACACCCAGGGAGTCTCTGTCCTCAGTGAAACCCAGCGCCATGGGCAGATGGGTCACTGTGGAGGTACAGATTTTGGATGGGCACTGCTAGGAGTCCAGTGACTGCCCGTCCAAACACTGCAGTGGATGAGGGCTTGTCCCAGAAGGATGTCACCGTGACAAGCACTGAACTCCTGCTGGGAGATGATGGGAAAATGGACTGTTTTACTGTTTTGTCCTAAAAGGTTTGTTCAATGAACCGGCTGAAGTACATCCTTAACTATCGTAGTTTTCACCTATGATGTGCTCAAGAAATTAACTGCATTTCTGTTTATTCTCTAGTTCCATGTGGTTACCAGAAGTTGTAGTGAGAAGCAAAATGTCATCAGTTCACAGAATTTATTATCCAAAGAGGATGCAAACAATATTCTTATTACCAAACACCCCAGGGGTTTTTAATTCTCTGGGCTGGGACGAAAGCTTTCTAGATGTTGACATGCACTTTCACTTGAATTCAAAGAGAAACGAGTACAAGACTGTTCAATGCCCTCTGATCCCTGTTAAAAATGAAACCACGAAACTCAAAGCACTGTTACAAAATCACAGCCCTTATTTTCAAAATGCTTGTAATAGCTTTTAAGAAAAAGCTGCACACTAAGGGTATAGTTCATACAAGGTGTTCCTGTACCGTACAGTGTGTTTAAGACAAACCTGGGAAGAAGAAGTTAGCAGATACTTGCCTCATACAATAAACAGCCCAAAGACCAGATATCGGATTTAAAGTTATAGCCGTTTTCATGTATTCTTTCTGGGGACATATAGTATGGAGTTCCCACTGTAAAAAAAAAGCCAAACAGACAGAGTTATCTTCTCAAAAAGCGACTGTGCAACCTGCACCATAGTGCAGTTTGACTTCATCAAAGGATTAGCTTTAGCACAAATAGCTCATTAGAAGAGACTGGCATAAAAATCTGCAAACAAATCACGTTCTCAAAAGCGCAGAACAAAATATATCATCACATACAGAGCTAGAGGACTGGGGAACCTCACTGACAGTATCTTCCATACTTTTGCCATCTGAGGGATGTTTTCCTCCCCTCCCAGTCTTCCTGGGTGTCTCGGATGGATGGAGCAGTTGTACGCCACCACCTTTGGGTCGCGCAGGAGCACCGACACTGCCGTGCGATGCCGTGAGCGTGCTCTGCTCAAACACGAATCGCGGGGCAGCATCCGACCGAACGTCCACCTGACGCACACCAGCCCCACAGCAGAGCAGCTCCAGACGTGACTGGGTCCCCTTTTTGAGCTCAGGAGAGCATTTACTGCGGCAGAGAAATGGAAGTAACGAGCCCAGCACCAGACAGGTACTCAGAAACTTTCTGAAAGCACCAAGATAATCACTCCAAACTGTAAAACACTGCTCCAACTTGCAGCCCCGTCAGAAGCTATGGTATTTCTGTGTACTTCCAGAAGTCTGAATTTTATCAAAAGAAATTTACTACAGCATTTTGGACAGGAGTTACAGGAAATTATTAATAAATTCCTTACCTCAAAAAGGTTCTTTTTTAAATCCCAAGTAAGTTCAGTTGCCATACTGAAAATACAACACATCCTGGCAGTCTCAACTACATCAAATAATCCTCAGATACATCATTTATTAAAACATCCAAGGACTTTATAGCTCTTTTTTCTCCTGCTTCCCCTGCTTGCCAGTCCCCTGTCTTTTTTTTTTTCCCCCCACTTTTGGCATCCCAGTGCATCCCCCTAATTAAAGGCCTTTCCTCACAGGATGGCAAATGTTTAATTTGCCTGCACCCCTGCCTGCAGCCAGCTGGGAGCCCCGTGAGCAGCTGAAGGCTGGTGTGAGGTGGAGGGGAAGCACAGCCACCACCTTCCCCTCACCCAGAACAAGTGAGGTGTAGAGGAGCAGCTGGACGTGGAACACCTGAGGAGTCAGGCAGTGCTTGTCCTCAGCACAACAGCATCCTGAGAGAAGCTGGAAATCAGGGAAATACAAAAATCTTCTCTTATTTAGTCAAAACAAAGAGCAATTATTTGAAATCTGGAGCATCTTCAGAGAAGAGCCACAAGGATGGTGAGGGCTCTGGAGAACAAGCCTGATGAGGAGCGGCTGAGGGAACTGGGCTTGTTTAGCCTGGAGAAGAGAAGGCTGAGGGGAGACCTCATCACCACCTACAACTGCCTCAAGGGAGCTTGTAGAGAGGTGGGTGCTGGTCTCTTCTCCCAGGTGATGGGGGATAGAACAAGGGGAAACGGCACCAAGCTGTGCCAAGGGAGGTTCAGGTTAGAGATAAGGAGGAAGTTCTTTACTGAGAGGGTCGTCAGAAGCTGGAACAGGCTGCCCAGGGAGGTGGTGGAGTCACCATCCCTGGATGTGTTTAAAGAGCGGGTAGACGAGGTACTTAGGGATATGGTTTAGGGGGTAGACAGGAGCGGTTGGACATGATGGTCTCAGAGGTCTTTTCCAACCGAGCAATTCTGTGATTCTGTGTCTGTGTGAAATTACTCCTGCCATTGCTGGAGTGAATGCCAAAGCATGGCCAACATCCTCCCTCACGCAGGTCTTGCTGGAAGTACAGATCCTCCCAGTTACAGAAGTCTCTACCGTGCCAGCATTCTGAAACGCTACATTTTCTGTGGGGAGAACGGGGATCGCGTTGCACCAGCTCCTCCACCTTAAATACCCCAGGAACTGTCTTTCTCTGGGGTGAAAACTAGGCAGCTTACCTGAAACCAACACCAACAAAGCCCCCCTCCCAAACCGGCACACTTCAATCTTGATTCTACATTTTTGTCACACATGTGTATGCCCACACCTTGAGTCTACTGAACTTCAACAATGTTTACTCAGAGCTATTCAGAAAAATAATATATGATGTGAAATTAATCCTATGGCATCGGTGTGAAATGTAAGACATTACGGGAATGCACATCAAACCCTACTGACCAGAACAGACCAAGAGAGGGGAGCACGGCCCTGATGGGCTCATCTACTTGGTCCCCAGGACTTCCAGTCATCAGCTGCCCAATGTGATCAACTCAGCTCGTGCCTGCACATCATTTGAATAAGCAATTACTTCACTTTCAATGTGGAGAGCACCCTAATGAGAAATTACATTTTTGAAAATTCTATACAAACTACAACACAGGAAAAAATAGGGTCAGTACTGGGGCCAGTATTGTTCAA